CAAATACGAATTCGGTTATCTTCTCTTTTGAGATGGTATGTGAGGGTTCGTTTTCTTCTGGACTGTTCTGCCATTGTCGTTATTTCTGCAGGTTTATCGGAGTCAACATTACTGGAAATAAAAACTCTTTTTTGGTTCTAATCCATTTTCCAAACACCATCAAAAATAATCTGTCGGTCTTTAATGATGACTCTTCCCATAGCTTAGCTAGGCTGTAAGTTCTCGTAACTAGAATTATAAGACTCCAAAAATACCCAAAACTCCTTTAGCTGTGACTCTTTGTCTATCGCTGTGTAAACTCTTCCTTTGGGTGTTTTGGGGTTTTCTCTAGCTAGACTTGGTAAACCACCTTGTGTGCTTTGTGTGGTATGTGCGATGTAGAATAACCCAGTCAGTGATCATATTTTCCAGCTGTTTATTGTAAAACTAGAATGCGAGTTACTTCTCCTGACTGTTGTGTAGAATGTGGGTATTGGCAGTAGCCTAGCTGTTTATGTGATTAAATATTTGATTGATTATATTTGTGAACATATATCTATATATGATGTCGTCTGATACTGTTTCACTGTTTACTAATAATAATACTTATCATATAATAATCATGTTTATATGTAGACTCTAAAACCGTGACAATGTTCATTCACAGTTCAGGCTCCAGTTCGGGTCGGGACGGCGACGGATTGGGTCGACACCTCAGCTCCAGAGCATCATCTCTACGACACCAGGGAGGCTATCGCAAGAAGGACTCATCTGCCTCATTCATCGACCCAACTTTAGCGACTGTCAGAGACTTGTACACTACCAGAAGATACCGCGAAATTGGCAAGGAGGTAAAAATAGCTCCGAATCCTGTCAACGTTGCCGAAACGGTGAATTCATCACACCGGGTCTGCTTGTTCTTTTTGCAGGATGGTTTACAACCTCGAGGTAAAATAGCCTTGGGTTGTTTGACCGTAGAATAAGTGTGTTTTCCCTCTGTGGTTTTCTTTATACCCTTATACAACTGACCCTGCATCCTTGCTAAATAATTTATTCGTCTTTGGCTAAGTTTTGTACTTGAATTGTAGACATTCAAGGGATCATCGTCAGTAGAGGATCAAGAAGCATTCTCTAAACAGGTCATTTCAATACTTGGTGATTGCGCAGGGATTGTTTCGAATGGGAGGGTCCATTTCGATGATTTGGCTTCTGGAACCCATTCCGAGTCTTCAGCATCAGATACATCTTCGGAATCACCAGAGTTGTTCGGACTATGATTGATAGTAAAACAGCGACATTTACTTGTCAAAGGATTAGGATCGCTGGCCAACGAATAAAGATTAGATGTCCTACTCTGTGGTTGAAAATCAGGGCAGATGGTTCTTTTGTTGTAATAGCCTGTTGTAGAGCCATCCGGACACATGCTCCGCCTCTGGTAAATGTCCAGTTGCTGAATTTATTTGAGATCATTGTGATTCTGAAATTAAAAAAAAAATATGATGTCAATTGTTATAATCTATTCTTTCATTTGATTTACCGCAGCCAAGGTGGGTCAGTGAGTAAGGCTCCATCTCACTAATAGTAAGTGCAGGGGGACTGCACCACACAAAATTTACACAAAAACAAATACACGGACAGGACATTATACTCAGGAAAACACAAACATAATGACAATTCAAAAAAAGTGAATGGATCCGGGGGCTAGCCGTAAGCGTCCACTGCGCTGTACAGTCCCGGGTGTGTAGTGACACAGACTTCACTCAAATTTGAAAACAATTAGGAATACAACCCAAAGAACCCATTGTGTAATGCCAGCATGAGTCATGATCTGCTATATGCTACACGAAATACGAATGTAAGCATATGTAGTAAAATTCAACTATACAAGTAACCACATAGGTGAAAAGTATAAAAAAAGTAGTCTAAACTCTTAAATTCTATAAAGAAACGCATCAGTATTTAATACATATAGGGTACATGTTCCATAGTCACAAAAAACAAAAACAAAACTGAATACAGAGAAGCAAGTAGGAAATGTAGACTGTCTCGAGGGACAGCCGTCTGCTGACTGAGAATGACATCATATCTTAGAAGGTGATAAAAAAATCACAATAATAAGGGAGATAATCCAGATAAAATAACGTTAAAAGCTTAAAAAAACATAAGTTCTAGTGACTAATCGGAATTATTAAGTTATGTAATTGTACAATATATAATTATATATTAATATAATACCCCACACAAGAAATGCAAAACAGGTATGTTGAAGAAATCGTACTATGTAAGTGTATTTATAAAGGCATAATTCAGACAGGGTTAGGTAACTACAGAAACTCTAAAATAAAATTTAAATGCCTGGGGTTCGATGGTCTAGTCGTTAGGATGGGACGAAAAACAGAGGCCTTGTTTATAGATTGGTGGGCACGTAAAAGAACCATTTACAGTTGGAATTCTATTGATGTCCGGGCAAAATTTCCCTCGTAGCACATTGCATGTCAGATGCCTGTCTTCATTAGCCGTGTTGGAACAAAAAGTAGGACGTTAAACCCATTTTCTTTCATTCATTCTTTCATTTGACTTGTCGAGTGATATGTGCAAAACCACGTAAGTCGATATAATTAAAACAAATTAGGAGAATGCAAAAACATGAAACTGCAATTCAGACTCAAAATAGGACGTTGGCAAAGCGTTTTCTATTAGATTGTTCTCATATAACACATTTTATAAGACACAATTTACTTCTGTCAGTCATACAATATGCCAAATTTGAAAATTCCAAAATCTGACACAATTGTCCTCATTAAACAAATTAGGTGAAAAGTTTAATTCGAAACCAATTCATATCACACCAGAAGTAATATTTATCTTAGTTTATGTTTAAAATATCAAGCATATAGTAATAAAACTTACCAAAATACACCATTTAACTCTATTTGGATTTCGTCTAAGCCTTCCTTAGGCTAACACGTGGTCGAATGCGAGGTACGTGGTTTTGGCGTGCATCAGTTCTAACCAATCGAAATACAAGGTTTTGCTCATGTGACTTTTACGCCAAATTTTATTGGTGTAGACGTACAAGTTTTTTAGGCAGTATGTATCACGGCGGGAATTGTCGATTTAAGCAAAAATACGAAAATCGCAAAAACCCAAGTTACGCGGTTTTGACTCCCGATCGACGATATGTAGCCTAAGCATAACTCAGTTTATGAGATATCTTGTCAAGGAGCGAACTAGGCCTCCAAACGTCGGACATGGTCCGAGGGTCCATCTATCCCGATTGGAGAAACAAAAATTAACACATTTTTTTTCAAAATAAATTAAATTCTTTCTATGAATATTAATTATTAACTAAGTAGGTCAATATTCAAGTAAGTTTCTCCTATTGAAATGCCCTTGATTTTACAGACAAATAATTAAAAATATACCTTCAATTTTTGATATTGTGTAGGGCTAAATTTTTAATAAAAGGTCATCTCAAGGTCACATGGGCCACAGGGTCAAGTTCAAGGTTAAAGTAAAGTTTGGGAGAGAGAGAGAAATGGGGTTTAACGTCCACTCGACACAAACTAGGTCATTTCGGGACTAACATATGGTTTAATTTTATTTACATGATTCGCTTGCGCATAGGGGTCTTTAGCAGTGAGAGGAAACCGGAGGACCCGGAGAAAACCCACGAGGTTGGACAGGCGACCCTACTCCTTGCCACGTACAACCGATGATTCGAAACCATGTCAGTCGACTCAATGACAGACTTTATGATACAGCGCGCGCACGCTAACCATTCAGCCATCCAACCCCCCAAGTTTTTTGGGTAAAAACATGTTACAGAAGATTAGTTTTTTAAAGGAGTGAGTCAATATCCAATAGGTTTCTCCTTAAAAAATAATATTTTTATGTTTTAGGTTTAATTTTAGTGTTTTTTTTTTTTTTTATAAACGCGGGGCATCAGTGTGTTAAAGTGTTAAAATGGACACAAAATTTATTTTTGAATTGAAATATATCCAAAAGCCTTTCCCATTAATGTTTTTGTATATTACTATTAGAGACAGTTATGTAGGTAGTCTTGCAATATCACAAAAGAAAACTATGGGATACCCAAGGCTTTGGGAGAAAATGACCATTGAAAAAGCTCAAAAATTCATTTTAGCGCACTTTTGAGCCACGACACTTTGGTAAGCCAAAGGTATCCCACAGGTTTTTCACTATTTTTCATCTCTACTTATAGCAGTTAACAAGAACCACCCAAATAACCTATGGGTAATCATGTACTTTGCTGTAATTTTTCAGTTAAAGTTCTCCAAAAGCCGTTTTTGAAAATTTGGGTCAATTTTCAAGCTCCCATATCTCGGCAACCGACAAAAAATAACGATTTCTTTTTTAGTATTGTGATTGTAGTACTAAATGGTACATTATGTGGTCACTTAAGGGCCTTGCCTGAATCTTACAGAAAGTGGCTATTAATATAAATTTATACACAGTGTTTAACCCGTTAAGCGTGACGTTTTTAAAACGTTAACTACCACCTATTGTGTAATTAATTTGACGAAGTGACGAAAAACTATGTACTATGTTCTAAGAATAGGTTGGGGAAAATACCTCCAAGGGGTTATATTACGCCCTACACACAGTGAGTGGCAGTTGTCCAGGAAGTAATATAACGTCCTACACATGCTGCGATCGTGGGGAAATTCCCAAGGGATTCCCCCAAGTGACGAACTATGTTCTAAGAATAGGTTGGGGAAAATACCTCCAAGGCGTTATATTACGCCTTACACACAGAGAGTTGCAGTTGTCCAGGACGCTATATAACGACCTACGCACTTAACGGGTTAAGGTCATGACACAAACAATCGAAACAAATTCTGATAATTACTTAATGGGTTGTTACTCGTAATCAGATTTTCGGGTGTTGTAAATGTTTTCATTACTGTCTGGAACTGCTCGGGGCGTATGTTTCATTGTCTGGCAACCTATCTTTTTTCTATTGTAAAATAAAGTTTTTGAATGAGCATATTTCTTACCCTTATAACACCATAAAGAAGTGATACAGTGATTAAAATAGAGGCAACTGTTAGTCCATAGGCAACGCACATGTCTTCTGAAAAGGAGAAGATAAAAAATAATAACATACAGGTCACAATTCTATGGAATACAATTACTACTTATTAGTAATATTACTGTGCGACGTTTCGACTAGGATTTTCTAGTCATTATCATGCAATAATAAAATATGAAATATAACAAGACAATATATACATGTAAATAACACTACATGATTAATGACCAACCAGAGACACCTTTCTAATTACCTTGAAGGAAACCTAACTTAAAGATAGGTTGCCAGGCAACGAAACATACACCCACAACAGCTAAATCGTCCGAGCGGTCGACAAGAGTTGTTGCATATTTATTCCTTTGTAGGTAATTGGGGCAGTGATGGGATTTCAAAATTTTTCTTGTTGGACATTTTTACCGAAAATAAAGGGACATAACTCTTATTGTTCTTTAAGCAGGCAGTTTTAGACCACACACAAAAATCACGTGTCAACAAAAATATTTAAATTCGTACGGAATAAAAAGATAGGTTGCCAGTCAACGAAACATACGCCCACAGCAGCTATATCGTCCGAGCAGTCAACAAGAGTTGTCGCATATTTTTACTTTTTTCGGTAATGAAACATTTATAATACATTAAAATCTGATTAAGAGTAACAACTCATTAAGTAATTATCAGAAAACCATTAGAATTTGTTTGGTTTTTATAAAGTTCTGCCCCATGCTAATGTTTAGTATACGAAACTTTTAACATCATGGATTTAGCTGTTCAAGTCATAAAGATTCATTGAAAATCAATATACTTCTCGTCTCAAGACCTTAAACACTATGTATCAATTTAAAGTCAATCGGATATTTACTTTAGCCTCTAGAGCGTCTACAAGATTTTTCAAAGTGATCAAGGGCCATAACTCTGGCAGTAATTATCGGAAATCGCTGAAAATCAATAGGATTCTTCGTCTCATGACCTCAAACACTGTGTATAAATTTAAAGTCAATTGAATATTAACTTTAGCCTCTAGAGCATCCACAAGATTTTTTGAAGTGATCATGGGCCATAACTCTGGCAGTAATTATCGGAAATCAGATTTTAACTTTAGCCTCTAGAGCGTCCACAATTGCTTATAAAAATGACATCTCGATATTTATTTGGCAGTAAACATCGCTCTACCACAACGAGCGAGTGACACCATCTGCCAAATAATCGCATTTGACTCTAGCACGCGCTATCATCTAAAACAATTAAGTACTTACACTATTCCAATCGACATATTTTTCAACATTTCCTAGCGTACTTATTTCTTTATTTAAAAACGTAACCCTCATTCAAAATATGATCATAAATCCGAGAATATGCCATCAAAATAGAATCTTTTCTTTAGCATTAGACGGTGAAATTTGTCACGTATTCATTTCATAGTTTCACGCGTCTTGCGAGATTTCTACTTCCGTTTCAGTTATCATACTATAACTGATCATAAACATAGTTAGCATTGTCTAGAATTTTTCGGATATGTGTTTGAAATAGCTTTATTTAAAGTTCACTTCCACCGAAGTGATATCTCAGACGAGTTTTCAGATACATATTGATTTGGGGTGTTATGTACTATTACTGGAAAAGGTGATTTTGAGATTATGATCATACATTTGATTTTATTAGTTTTTCAAGTAGATCTCATCATTCTTCTCACAAAACTTTTTACAGATTCAAAATCAGATTAATTTTCTTTTATGGAGGCTCAAAGTTGTGATTTTTTACTTTTGGCGGAAGACAAGTTTTTCAACGCTTTGAAAATTGAAAGATAGGTTGCCAGGCAACGAAACATACGCCCACAGCAGATAAATCGTCCGGGCAGTCAACAAGTGTTGTCGCATATTTTTACTTCTTTCAGTAATGAAACATTTATAATACACTCATGAATTAATTATCAGAAAACCATTAGAATTTGTTTGGTTTTTAATATCATGGATTTAGCTGTTCAAGTCATAAAAATTCATTGAAAATCAATATACTTGTTCGTCTCAAGCTCTTAAACTCTGTGTATCAATCTGAAGTCAATCGGATGATAACTTTAGCCTCTAGAGCGTCACAAGATTTTTCAAAGTGATCAAGGGCCATAACTGTGACAGTAATTATCGAAAATCACTGAAAATGAATAGACTTCTTTGTCTCATGACCATAAACACTGTGTATAAATTTAAAGTCAACCGGATATTAACTTTGACCTCTAGAGCATCCACAAGATTTTTCAAAGTGATCAAGGGCCATAACTCTGGCAGTAATTATCGGAAATCGCTGAAAATCAATAAGATTCTTCGTCTCATGACCTTAAACACTGTGTATAAATTTAAGATCAATCGGATATTAACTTTGGCCTCTATAGCGTGTACAAGATTTTTCAAAGTGATCAAGGGCCATAACTCTGGCAGTAATTATCGGAAATTGCTAAAAATCAATAGGCTTCTTTGTCGCACGACCTTAAACACTATGTATGAATTTAAAGTCAATTGGATATTAACTTTAACTTCTAGAGCGTCCACAAGATAATTTGAAGTGATCAAGGGCCATAACTCTGGCAGTAATTATTGGAAATTGCTGAAAATCAATAGGATTCTTCATCTCATGACCTTAAACACTGTGTATAAATTTAAGATCAATCGGATATTAACTTTGGCCTCTAGAGTGTCCACAAGATTTTTTGAAGTGATCAAGGGCCATAACTCTGGCAGTAATAATCGGAAATTGCTGAAAATCAATAGGCTTCTTCGTCTCAAGACCTTAAACACTGTGTATAAATTTAAAGTCAATCGGATAATAACTTTAGCCTCTAGAGCATCCACAAGCAATTGTGGACGCCGGACCGATGAACGGACAGAACGATGGGCCGACGGACGACAATATACGACCACATTTAAATGTGGGCGTATAAAAAGAATTCCCAGATTACTGACCTAATCCCAACCGATGTCACGTGTCATTGGGGGATTCGGCATTGGAGATTTTGTCGGAAAAATATATTATTAATGACTGTTTCTCGGTGTATTCGGTGTTCTATCCGAAGATAATATATATTCAACTAAGATTTAAATTTAACTAACAACTGGTCAGCGAAACCATTAAATGTACGATTCAATTATTATTTAAAAATCTACTGGTACCTGGAATTCATACGGAGCGTCAAAGATGCACAACGGAAGAAAATGTAAACATCCGAGTGGTGGATATGGTACCCAGAGTAGGTCCTATGCCGGGTGTTTTTATTTTAGGGACTATTGAGGGATTAAAAAAATTCAGTATTCCTGAAGAAAAAGAGCTCAGTCTACGTCGCGTCGTCTGCTACGAGTATAGTCCAGGAGATATACTCTAAATAAAGCCAGAACCTCAAACAAATTGCAAAAGAAATGTTTTTACCGTTAATATATTGTTTGGACTTTGTTGTTCATCCTATCAAAAGTCGCCACAGATCCCTTGATCCATAATGCAATTTTTCACCTGTCTAAGCTACTATATTTAGAACAACACCTGAGAGTTAAAAAAATGTGGGTGGGGATCTTGAAATTGCTTTTGATAAAATACTTGTAAATCGATTGTGTAAAAAAGACGGATCACGCATCCACTTATGAACATATTTGGTTTTTTATATCTTAATTAGGTCATTGTGCATAATTAGTGACGTTAATTAGGGCATTATGCATAATGACGTCATAAGATCATGACCTCAAAAATGTTGTTCTGAATTACATAAATCCATACATACAACTATTTATTTTTATCTTCGAACTTTGGGACAACGAAAATAAGGGACATTTTGTCAATTCAGTTTGGGCATAAAAAAGTTGTTTTCTAGGATTTTGATAAAAAAAAAGGAACACAATTAGGTGCAATAACAAATACAAATATTTAATTTGGTATAGCGCGTTTTAGGATAAAAATCATCAAAAGTGCTTTACAAGCAATGTAAACACAGAGAATGTCTGGGGAGGAGAATTTAAAATTGATCAAACAGTATTGTTTTTAATTTGATTTTATAAACATCTTCACTGTCTGTTTGATGATGTTTGGTAGTCTATTCCACCATATAGGTCCTTGAAAACTGAAAGAACGCTTCGCAAACGTTTTTTTCCGAATTGTTGGAACTTCAAGCTTTTAGTACATGCTGCTAGATCTGAGAGTTAGAGAGGGGTTGCTTAGAGTCAACATGGATCGTATGTATTCGGGGGGGTGTTGTGTAGTGCCTTGTATACCAGAACTCGAATTTTGAACTGTATTCGTAACTGAATTGGAAGCCAGTGCAGTTTCTTTAAACATTCTTTGTTCCGCAGACCCTCAGCTTCTCTACCCAGTACTACCCTTGCAACTATATGTTGAACTCTGTTCAATTTGGCGATGGCTGTCTGTGGGAGACCAATGAAGATGGCGTTGGCATAATCGAGATGTGAAATTACAATTCCTAATGCCAGTGTCTCTGCAGCATCTTTGGTAATGGTTGATCTGATAGACTTAATTCTATGGATCCCATACATCGCGGTTTTACATTTCTGTTTAATGTGGTGATTGAGTGTTAACTCTTCATCCAGAGTCACACCCAGGTACTTGATACTTGGTGATGGATGGACGGTGTTCCCGTTGACGTTGATAGATGAAGTTGTGCATTTCTGTAGCTGTTTCCTGTGACCAAATAATATATATTCAGTTTTAGATGAATTCATTTTTAACCGATTCGCATCCATCCATAGTTTAATAGAAGATGCATTGTCTTCAAGACTTTGTATCGCTATTCTTTCCTGATCTATGTTGCTTGTACAGAAAGATTTCCGAAGTGCATGGTCATCTGCGTATCCATGTATCTCTATGTCACCACTCACTTCCTTTTCCATTGTTGATGCATACGCTAGATACAGCACAGGGCCTGTACACGATCCCTGGGGAACAGAAAATGGGAGATCTCTTGTAATTGAGTACTGATCTCCGACATTTACAACACAGCTTCTAGGTCTTAGATAGCTGTCGAACCATTGTAGCGCGTCTGACTGGATTCCAAA